ATACAACTTTCTCTCACACATATCCGTAGGTAGTTCTGCGAGTCGTAATACGCCAAAATCTGTTAATCTACTTTACCGATAAGAGCGGCACGGCTTTTCCAAGTGGGTTGACGAACCACTTCGCTTCACCAACCGTCCAATGTAACCAGGAAATTTAAGCGATTCTCACGACGACTCACATAGTCCAATAGTCCATTGTCCAAATTAAAAGTCAACCGTCTCTATTTAATGGGCTTGAAGCTTGTATTGGCACATCTTTTCATGACAATTGTTGATTAATTCGCGCTTCATATTTTCCAAGTAGTAGGGACTCGCTTCCTACTTAGAATACAATTTACAAACACCTTGAGAAATAACAACGAGTCCTTAAGCAATTGGCGATCTACGTGCATCATTAGGGTAATACGGGCGAAAAGCCATAAAGAGTTAGGACGGGTGTGGAGCGAATGCAAGATCGTAGACGGACGATTATACGACGGGGAGAGCGTTGAGAATCCAGAATCCCACTTAGAGAACGCATAAGGGATTCGAAATCATCTCTCCAAGGATCCGATCATTAAAAGCCCGTCTAGGTCGATGTGCGGTCCAGGCGTAACACAACAGCTCGGTGAACATCACAAATCGCTGACTATAGGAAGAAATTGGTTGGATCGCGCTGGACTCGGGGAATACGTAATCAGGTTCGTGGCACCTCGACGTCCTGGTGGGGCCGTGTCAGCGCTAACATCCGCAGAATGATCGAGCGCTGTTATTTTAAGTTTTCCATGGGGGATCCACGCTTATACATCTATCGCGCTCCTGCGTTGCTTACCGCCCTAACCGACGACTGCCTCCGCCTTCTCTCGGCCGCCAGTCCAACCTAGAGCCAGAGAGAGAGAGAGAGAGAGAGAGAGAGAGAGAGAGACGGTGAGATGCCGGTGGGATGCCGGTGGGATGCCGGTGGGATGCCGGTGGGATGCCGGTGGGATGCCGATGTGATGCTCCGTGCGTGTGTGTGTAGATGGATTTCTTGGGGAGGGGGTGGTGGCGAGGGGAAGTCGGAACGGCAAAAAATGAAGTTCTGGGGCAGACGACTGGTCGTCGCCCCCGCGTGTATGCGATCCGCGCGTACAACGTGTCCCGCCTTGACATATACGAGAGTCGACCCCATCTCGGGATTTCCCCGCCTCGGCCGCATTCGGGCACTACGGATACGCCACGGTATCCCTCCCTTGTCATTTTTTCTTCCTTTATCTTTTTAGCTTTTTTCTTTTCTCTCTGTCTCTCTCTCTGTCTCTCTCTCTCTCTCTCTCTCTCTCTCGTTCCTTTATATATGTAGGACTTGTTTCGTTGGCACGGATTACGTCGGGGTGCATGGGATCGTTCGGACGATGAGCCACCCCTGCGGCAGGACTGAAAGATTCGCGCCAAGGATTCATGCCCCCCTCGAGGTTGAATTCAAAACGCTTTACACTCTCTTAATGGACCTGTTGATTCTCTACGACAGCAGTGGCTCCTGGTCGTGTTTATTTTAAATCCGGAGTAGGTTCCGAGCGATTGTCACATGGCGACGCCCTCGCCACGCTTCCAAGATTCTCCACATCTTTATCCTTCGCTCCAGCCGCTCTTTTATACATTATTTTGCCTTTTACTTCCGTGCTCTTTGACTCGTTTGACTCGATAGGTGCTACGTTTTTTTTTTTTTTTATTTTTTTATTTAATTTGTTAGATTGCCGTACTTAGCCATCGGGCATCTCATTTTTCCATTCTCGCTCGATTGATTTGGAAAATCATAAAGCATAAAGCGTAAATCAATGCATATAACCTCGTGCAAATTATTATTCCAAAGTTATGGCGAGTCCGCGAATATCTTATTCAATGGGAATTCAATGTCTACACTGATTAGCTCTCTTTCGATAGTTTTTTTCTTAGTTCATCGCGAAACTTTGGGCTGCCTCGTAATTGAAATTATTAATGTTTTGGTTTTGTTGTTTATTCCGCCAACAACGGGAAAGCCAAAAATCAACTTTCTGATGTTAAGAAAAAAGATGCAAGATAAAGAAGGAAAAAAAGAGACGAGGTAAAAAGAACGAAAATAAAGAAACAGCAACTTATAATGTAGTAATTCACTCGCTGATTTTATTACGGCGGATCTAACCAAGCTGCGGTAAAACAACCCGAACAAAATATCACACAAGTATAATTAACTCTTGAAAACCATAAATTACAGTCGCATACAAAGTTGCCCTCCGTGTATCAGAGATAAACCAGTCTTTCATCCACTGATTACTTTTGCACCGTCTCTTTTATTAACCTCGATACTGAGGACAAGCGACTTTCATAACTGGAACAATTGCGCACTCGTCGGAAATAAAGTCACTAAAAGTTTCCGAAGAAGAGCAGTGTGCCTCGATCTACCGTCGGCGCGTTTGATGGTCCACGTTCGGCTCCTTCTCCTCTTTCTTCACCTCCTCCTCCTCCTCCTCCTCCTCCTCCTCCTCCTCCTCCTTCTCCTCCTCGTCCTCCAGCCCTTCTCGTCATACGTAGCGAACATCCCGCCGAATGCTCCCTCGCATCGGTCGCTCAGTTTCGGGAGAGCCGGGTCTTACATACTAGGCGTAACACGTAAGTAGTTAAGGTTTCGTTGGGGAACGATAAAATGGCTTAAGGAAAATTTCGTGCCTAGATAGAGGAAAAGTTCGTAACATTATAACCGTCAACGACGTAATATGTCATTGCATTAGAAAAATGGCCCAAACATTTTGTAATTAACATTTTGTAAATTGTATGCTTTGACGATGAGAAGCGAATTTCGGACGCTAATGAGATTGCTCGTAAATAGAATTAATGCTTTGGGAGCCGAAGCAGAGTATGTCGTGGGAATTGCGATTAAAAGCCAGTTTGACGTGGTATTGAAAGTAAGAACGGTCGAAAGGATGAAAGTGAGAATTATAAAGAGCGCGGCAAAAATTCTGAACGAATAACGATGATACTTAATGCGAAACAGCGAATATAATTTTATAATTAAAACGGCCGATAATCATTACATTATTTCGTAATAAAAATCATTTACAGGATAATTGAATAGGGAGTTAAAAGTTGGAGTGAAGTTTTTGAAAATATAATCGAGAGAACTGATAGATTAGCTTTGCGAGGGGGTAAGATGTAGGTATACGTGGGTAGGCAGAGTCCAGTGGGACAAAAGTGGAGGTAAGAGAAGTAAAAAGTGGTCCATTGGTTGAGATTAAGCGTGTGTGTGTGTTGATGGTGCGCGATAATCATAATGCAGAGGGAAAAAAACTTGAACGTTGGCATTACTTTTGCATTCACAGCCAATTGTTTGAGTTATTAACTTTTAAACGTCTCGTATGATGAAACGGCGGGCAGCTTTCTTTCCAATGATTTTCACATTATCTATAATCTATGTATCGCTAGTGTAGTGAAAATAACGATTCTTGATTAGCCTTAGTCTTAGTCTCAGTCCTTAGCTCAATAAACTTCTCAATATTCTTTATCTTCGTTATAAACCGCTAGTTTGCTATTATTTTGTATAAGATGAACGATCATTTATCAAGTATTGATAATTTTGGGATAACGAGCGATAAATCCTATATGTAGATAAATAGCTGTAGTATTTAGCTTCGAGATATCGAACAATTCATACTCTCCAATTATTTAATCTTTACAATAGTTTTGTTATATTTGTACTTATGTGCTCTCTCTCTCTCTCTCTCTCTCTCTCTCTCTCTCTCTCTCTCTCTCTCTCTCTGTTTGTGTGTGTACGTGTGTTTGTACGCGCGCGCGTGTGTGTGTGTGTGTGTGAGCGCGCGCGTCTATGGCTATGTATGTCTATATGCTCGTAATGACAACAATAACAACAATGACAATAGACGGCCAACGATCAACTGATCGTCTCAACTGCTTGTCAAGTACTTATTCCGCACATACTTCGCTGCTGTATGAAGCAATTGACTGTTTGATAAAGCTACGACGAATAATGAAATGTCGAATGTCGTCAATGTAGGAAAAGAAAGAGCCGTTTTTCCATGTGCAGCCATTATTGTGTAAATGTATAAGTTGTCATGTAAATAATATTGCCACAGTTCCAGAATACGGGTGAAGTCGTCCATCGTGAGCTCGGGACGTGGCAACGCCGAAACGGCCGATCTAGAGGCTCGGAATTTCTTTTTCGCGCGAGTCTCTTCAATCGCAGCCGAAGAATTAAGCGCAAAGCCAGGAATTTACGCTTCTTTCCTCCGCAACGGAGAGGCATCAATCGCTCGGCTACGAGAAGCATCATTGCTCGCTACGTAATATTCCGCTCTTTGATAACCGACAGTGAGCAGCGACGTCTCGCTCGCAAGAAACGGATAATTCGTAACATCTAATTTTTTTAATGCACCGCGTGCTCGCGAAGCATAGCTTTAGTGAGTCTTGAAAAAAATCTCCCTCCCTCGGGCTTCTGTGTCGTGCGCGAGATGCCGCGGTGTCTCGCCAGCCAGTGTGCGTGCCCAGGTGCGTGTTGGACCGAGAGCGTTGTCGAGTGCGTTCACGAAGGATCATGAAAGTATAAAGACGCTCGCGGCTGGCAGTTGACGGGAGGGGATTGGGACGGAAGAGGCAATGCGAGTTTTTGTCCGCAGTCGCGACACTTCTCCGCGGACGGAGACGAACGACTCGCTCGCAAGCGCCGATTATGATAACCGCGCTTGGACTGACAAGGACGGACAAAGCATCGGCGGGTGGAAAAAATTCGCGTCGCACGACGCAAAGACTGAAGGAGGAGGAGGAGGAGTAAGAGGAGAAGGAGAAGATGGAGGAATACGAGGAGGAGAAGGAGGAATAGGAGGAGGACGAGGAGGAGGAGAAGAAGAGGCGGAGCAGTTTTGTTAGGAATTTCTACGAGCGCGATGGTCCGTTAACGAGGCTGTCTCTTGACACTGTTGTCGCTGTTGAATTCGCGCCGCCGAAGGGTAGAGGGATGCGGGAAAGTACGACTGCTTGATCACTCTTGTACTCACCGTATGTTCGATCCGACATTGGGTCGCAAGAATCTGTAACAGAACGAGGCAACGCTTTTTAAGACACATTACTTGCAAAATAGGCTTATGACTACTGTGTGTTTATGAATAGCTTTTTGCGGTTAAACGAAGCTTTTACGGATAACTTAATTTACCGGGATTCGTGCTGTGTCTTATACTTGAAAGATCGCAAACCGATGGTTTTTCATTCGCCACGAGTCGTGTTATGGCTCGTTATATATAGCTACATTTTCACGTTAATGATATTCGACTGTTAACGACCGATACTTCTTCGTGGCTAATGTTTCGCGACACTCGTGATAATTAGCGTAACTCATGTACGATTACTACAACTATTAGAAGATTATTATAGGTTTATTTGAGGCAACTAAAGCATTTATTTCATCAATTTGGCTGTAATTTTCATAATAGTCCTAAATCCCGGCATTGTGAAATTCAACGCAGTCACGTGAAATATAGAATGCCTGCCTGCATACATCCATTGTTTATCCATATCCATTCAATTAGTAAACCATAATTATATTGTTGGGATATATTTAGTCAATGAAAAAAAAAAAAGAAAAAAGTTCATTAAGAGGGCGGGAGTGGCTCGTCGACGTTCGAAGATTCTCTTTTTTTGCCATTAAACGGCCGTCACGAATCGATCTCGCTAAGTCGAAAATATTCTCGGCATAGTCTCGCGTCCCTTCACCACGTGCAAGGAAAGCGCGGAAATTCCGGCCGGACGGAGTAACGTTCCTTTCGAGAATCGCCCACCATCCCGGATGCCGCTGGCCACTCCTTCCCTCTTGGCCTCACCAGCTTTCGTTGGTCCGATCGATGGCAAAGCCGAGACACTGACAGGGAGAGTGAGAGTGAGAGAGAGAGAGAGAGAGAGAGAGAGAGAGAGAGTGGGGGAGTGAGATGAATGGGTCCGATAAGCATTGGGAAGGCTAGCGAGTGGCCCGGGCTACGAGCACGGTGACGCTCACGCTCAGGCGACACTGACATCTGGTATTCCGTTTTCGAGCCGTCCACGAGGTGCGAACGCCTAGCACCTCCGAGACCCACTGCGGATGAGGAATAATGGCGGCTCCGGCTGCCGGAGAAAGGGGGACGGGACTTTATCCGGCCGATGATCGCAATCGCGCTTATTCTAATACTTTCCACGAAATGACGGCTATGCGGCCTCGACGTCGCGCGCGCGCGCACGGCAATCGCCGCGCGAATCACTAATAGGCCAGCGACGCATACCCACCCAGAGATGCGTATAAGTATTGGCGAAAAATAAAGGATCTAGCTGCTAGGCCCCGGCGATGGACAGTAAATATTAAACGTCTTGGCGGGCGAGCGCCTCCTGTCTCTCGGAGAAAGCACCTCGGCTTCTCCGCTGTCGCTCTCTCCACCTCGAGCGACTAGCACTGGCTTTATGCACGTCGCGACCGAATGCTCGTGTACCTTTGTGCGTGTGGAAGGGAGAGGGATAACTGAATCTCAATTAGCGAGCCATGACAAGTGTTGAGTAATCCATCCATTTAGGGACGTACACGTCACGTTGGGGGCGTGCAGACTACCGGCAAAGTGCCGCAAAAGCGTGGCTGACTCTTTCTCTCTCAATCTCTCTCTCTCTCTCTCTCTCTCTCTCTCTCTTTGTTTCCACGCCTCCGTCGTCCCTCGATACTTCTGCCTTGCTCCGTCACTCACTCACGCACTCTCTCACTATCTCTTAGCAAACAGTCGAGTGGCTGTAGATGTAGTTGTAAAAGTGACGATGATAAAGGCGATAGAGCATGTTTATTCTACGCCACCAATAGCAATCGAAGCAATGAATAAATAATGTCCACATCGGCCTGATTAATAATAAAATCAATGTAATGAAAAATTAGCCATTTTCCTGCTAAATCGCTTTTCATCCAATAAGTACGTCTTTCGATACAGCAATCAGCCATGTAAGTGCGCGCTCACCTATACCGTCACTGCCTCTCCATAAAATTCCGTCAAATATTTATGAAAGTGAATCATCATCACCTTCTAAGTAAAACGAAAAACCATCATCTATTTAAAGTGATTCTCCTTGTACTAGGAACGGTAAAATAACTGTGCTCTCCGACATTAAACACCTGTCGTCGCTTATGAAATTCTCGTGTGGCGCATTATGATAAGTGTAGCCTAATTCGAGCGATTGCCCTTCCCCCTTCCCCCATTAATCATCATATTATTATAATAATTAATGAACAAGAGTTCGATAAAGGACAATCCACAACAACCAGCAATATTAGGCTGAAATAAATTCTATATAAAAGTCGGTGGATATTTATTTTATATGTCCTTTTTAGTGAGTCGAAGCTTTGATTATTCATGGGAAGGTGTGTTCTGAAAAACAATCGTGCGAAATTACCATACCGAAAACGTTTCGCTTGAATTCTAATTGGCAAGTAAGAAATGGTTTGGCTAACTGTTTATAATTGGTCATGTATTACGTTTTTCTCATCCGCGGGCCGAGAAGTCGGCAACATTTCACCAACAACAGCATCTGCGCAAGCAAGTCGCTTAGCATACCGAATAGACGTAAAATTTTGTTCTTTATAATAATCATAGCGCGGATCGGAGTTTTACACAATTTAAAAGCGATAAAATCGGCAAACAATTACGCTAGGATACGTAAAGGAAAGAAAATGGAAAAGAAAAATAAAGACAAGAAAGAGAGAGAGAGAGAGAGAGAGAGAGAGAGAGAGAGGAAGCGTAGAAAGCCGAAAGACAATGCGTAATAATTGAAAAAAATCTAATGGCACACATACGGACTTTATCTTTTGCACTCAACTCAACGCGAGAAATGATATAATTAAGACAGTTATCCGCACGAGATTATCGCCGAGAAGTTCATTGACCATCGATCCCTTTATTTCATTATTTATACAGACCGCGGCCGCTGTATCTCGATGTAGCTTATCTCGATCTGTCGATCGCGGCGAAAACAAAGTTGCCTCTCGCGAGATCATGGGCCTATTTGTAAGTCAGCCAGTCCATCCCCCACCGCCAACCCCCCGCGAGATGAATAAACGGAGCGGCGCGAGTCGGAATATTTGACGGCGGGCGGTCGCCGCGTTTCTGAGCGGGCCACGCACGAATGATGAGGAGCCCCGTGGGCAATTAACGACAAACAATGACCTGGCCGACGGCGACGCGTCGAGGCGCCGCGCATTCATCGATAGGCTCGCCGTGTTGAGTTAGCGGGCGCTCTTAATCGTCGAAAGCCGAGATTTTTTTTAGCATACGAGAGACGTAATGAGCGAGATACGTCGAAGCGTAGTAAGAAGCGTCGACGGTGAGTTCGAGGGCTGGACTCGCGATGTCTGGGCCCGTGGTTTAGTATGGAGGGCCGGATGAGTATATCTTCTCTTATTCCCGAGCGGTTGTGTAAGTCGCTTATTGTCGGCCGAGTGGGAATGTTCGTTATAATTGCCATCAGTCGGCTATTCGAGAGACTGAGAATTTCTCTCGAGCACTTTCTCTACGTGATTTCTTGACGAATGCTTTGCCTTTTTGCAGCTAATCAGCTAGGTGTTTATTGCAATGCTACGACAGGTGGAACTTTTCAAGAGCTCTCGGAATTTTTTTTATCAAAATTCATTAAATCCAAGGAATAATAAATTGAAATGAAATATTACCAACTGCACACCGCTTTATTAAAGTTGGCATACGGGAAGGATGCGTGAAAGCGCTAGCGTGCTTATCTATTTAAAGCCAACATAGTGCATTATTATATTATGTAATATCTTTCATTTATTCATTTGTGCAGTAGAGGATAAGGAAAGAGTAAAAATCCTTGCTGTTTTTCGTTTTTCCATCAATTGCCAGTAACGAGCATTTTTCGTAAGCAGTTCGCTTAATGAGTAACGCGGTTTAGAATTATTCTATATTAGTATGACACATTATTCAACCGTATGCTCCACAGTATTAACAATTATTATTATAATTATTATTTTAGTTCGTATTTTAATTAATACAACTGTTGGTTAAACCAATTTGTTCAGATAACTGTCTAATCATTTTAAAGTTCATTAAAATGATTTACTCGCTGACACAAGTGCAGTTAGTTACATTATTATGATATTCTGAAGTGAGTCTCAGTGTTGCCAACAATAAGCTCGCTCATTATGAAAGTTCTTATGAATGTATGTAGACGCGAGATTGATGCATCTTAAAGCTTTGATGATGTATGCATGTAGTCGACACTCGCTTGTATATTTAAATACATAGTCGTATAGAGAAAATTGTGGATAAATTAGCGAATCTGCGTGTACATAATGTAAACAATGAATATCCAATATTACGAAGGACATATTCATAGAATACGAAGTAATTACTCCTATGGCAAAACAAAAGTGAAAGAAAATAATGAAATTAAGGTTTCATCGACTCCCAATGGCGAATGTCCTAGTGACAAAAATGCCAGTCGTTCGGTCGAATCACATATACATGGATTGCACCGATGCGGCAATAACTCTTGTACTCTTGCTTTCTTCAGTTTAATCGGACCGATCAACGCCGCTCAAAATAGCCACTGATCCTTCCTTTATACACGCATACATTTATTTACGAATATTCCAAAATTTTACAATAAATCCGTCACTTAATATACTTAATATCTCATTTTCTGCCAGCCTGCTCCATTCATTTAATCACCCATGCGAATCTCATAATTCTAAAGCAATCGACAACATCTCTCCAGTCAGATACATATAATTATTCTTACGTAAGTACTTCAATGTTGAATTACTTAGCCATGTAAATTATCTTTATTTGTTATTTATAATGCCTTATAGAGCCTTGAGATTACGTTTTCGATTTTTTAATTATGACTTTTGTCTGAATATTTTTAATGCCATTAGCTCAATTGTGCGATTATTATTCAAACAAAAAATATAATTATTTTGCTGGTAATAACAGCACGGTATAATTGTACGCGCGTATTAACTAAGAAATTACAATGAAGAAAATCATTTCTTTGCTGCGCAATGAAAATTTCATTA